CCAGCAGCATATTCATAAGACAGACCCTACCTCTATTCAGAGAGGGCGCCCCACAAAAACAAGACCGCATCTGTCAAAACAGTAATAAATATCTGGTCATGATACTTGATCTAGTGGTTAGAGTTCCTGACTTCATATCCAGAGGTCCGTGTTCGATTCTCGGCGCTACCAGAATTTCTGAGAAGTAGTGGGCCTGGAACGGGATCTACCCAGCCTCGTGATGATAACTGAGGAGCTATTTCAAGGAATTAACGGCCGTGGGGATTCGTTGCGCTGACCACGCGACACCCTCTATCCGCTAAAGTTGGCACTAACTTCGCCGACAAGCGGCTGTTGCTCGGTCGGTATAGTTCGCTTGCGGACCAGAACCGCAGAGTTTTTATATGTATGGTGTTTACTGTACTAGGCTTCCAAAATTCTCACTGAACACCCCAGTCAATCAACCTCTTTTCACTTTCGTTTTTAAGAAGTAAACGCATTTGTTTACACAATGTCTCGTTGTATAAGACAATTATATCAAATTCTTTACGTTACTGTACCTACACCGGCAAGAAATTTAAGACTGTACTTTAATGCATACTTTTCAATTGTAAACTTTCACTGTGACTGATGGTACTCTCATACTGTCGTAACGTGCAAAGTTGTCAATTATAAAACTGTGAACAAGTGTAAGACCTAATTACAATAGCTCAACGGCGCAATAATTAGTTTTTCGGGCTATTGTTAGCACTGTATAATGTGGTGAGGATACTGTTCCAAGGGCCACTGTTGTACTCGGAACTTAGCAGAAATGTTGAAAACCGTCTGTTCGGAATTCTGTTTAAAATGGGAGTAATAGAACTGAAGTAAAATTAACAACATTCTATGTCCTTCGAGGAGAAGTAACAGACGTTCCTTTCATATTACTTCATTCATCATGGGACTTAAAATCTTTCATATACGTACTTCTCCAGTGGCACTCGACCATTAGCCACAATTCAACATTGACCTTGCGTGGTTCAATCATGTGAACATGAAATAAAAACGTCCAGCGACGAAAATATATCAGTGTGTGTTGCGTTAGTTGCACGAGAATTGCTTCTTTTTTTTTCTGTCCTTTTTTCTGAGAGGGGGAAATAAATCCAATTTTCTTTTTTCGGTTCCTGACGGATAAAAATCTTACCCGACTGAATGCTTGATTAAAATCAGGAAACGGTTATCAGTTCAGTTATATCGTACAAATCCTGCGGGTTTGAATGGAAGGAGACATTGTACGAAATAAAAAAAATATAAAAGTGAATCACAGAAACAAGAAAATCTGTTAACCCAAACACTCAAGAATCCTTATACCTTCGTATAAAAAAAAAATAAAATGTTTAAAAATATATGTCAGCAATTCCACAAAATTGGAGTAAGTTCAAAATTCCTGTCCGGTTATTATTCAATTAAAAAAAAAAGTTAAGTTTAAGGCACGAAATAATTTCGCCTGCTCAAACACTGGGATCGTGAGTTCAAATCCCACTCGAGGTATGGATGTCTCCGCGTTTCTTTGTGTTTGTGTTGTCCTGTGTAAGTAGCGGCCTTACGATAGAGCTGATCACCCGTCCAAGGAGTCCTACTGATTGTCTATAAGATCCACAGTTCCAGACTAATTCTGATTGGGAACAGACCAGAGGGCCTAATATGAAAGAAAGAAAGAAAGAAAGAAAGAAAGAAAGAAAGAAAGAAAGAAAGGGTAAAAGTAAAAGGTCCTTTTACTTAACTATGTAAGCACTACACTGTCAAGACTTATAAGCGAGTGGATGTATAAGCCCATGTTTTCTTGACCTCGGCACTAGTTGGAGGCGAGTGGTCAGCTTCACGCCCGGCCGCTTTACCCCCGGGGAAATAATCCCCGGTATCCATTGGATAGTAGGATGGGTGGACCCCAGAGCCGGTTAGGACGACATAGAGAAGTGAAAATTCTTGACCCCAACGGAACTCGAACTCCGAACCCTCGGTCGTCCAGCCACAAGCTAGTTGCTATACCGGCAGAAAGAAAGAAAGAAGTAAACCTTTAAACTTATGTCACCTTCAAGAAAAAGACATTAAAGACAAACTTGCAGGTATTTATGAGCCTATGTGCAGAAAAGTTAAGTTAGTCTTGTTGTTAAAACCATTGCAATCAAGAAGTACGGGGCATGGAGGTAAAGCTGCACTTAACCTCAACATAAGATAATGGTGATCTGTCAGATTCACGCTCTCTCATGTTTACCGCTGGATAAATGCTCCCGTTCGGTACAGACTGAGTGGTGTTCAGAGCTGGTCTGATTGTGACGGAGTGAAGATTCCACTGGTTTGCTAGCTGTTGGATCTGAGTTATCCATTCTAATACGGTTATTATAGTACATTGTCGAATAGAAGGATAAAATGGAAATAAACGCGTGAAGAATCGATCATGGTTTTTGCAAGGCACTATCCAACAAATTTTTCTGGAGAAACTGAAGATAACCATAAAATATCAATTATAATAGAAGTCGCCGAGATGAGAAAACAAAGTTGGTTTACTAATCACTGTCATGAACATGCTTAACACAATTCGTTATCATCAATGTTTCAAACAAAGTTGCAGCCGTTACTTCGTTCCAGTTTCTGTAATTCATGTTCTTTCTTCAAATCAAGAGATGATATATCATGAAATTGAAATTTTTTTATTCGCTATGTTTCATATAGTAGTCAGAATAAAAACAGTCTTTCCACGAAATAATAATAAGCATTTCATGAGTTTTGTTTCTTTCAGAAGGACAGTGAAGTTCTCTTCTCTTATCTTCCAAAATTATTATAATCTGAGTAATTTTCGACTATAGCCTACATTATAAAGTTTCGAACATATGAACTTATAACTTTCTCACCACTCTCAATGCTGTTCTTCAAACATTTCATGTCTTAAGCAAAATATTGCGCCTGCGTTCTAGAGAGTCTCGATGTTTTACTCTGCGTCGGAGCATTGTTTGGCTTGGGATTATCGCCCGCCGGCAGCTGAATCTGTAGACCCATCATTAATTCTCATCTATCACTAATCCCCCTTCATCATTAATTACGTCACAAGACAAACCTTATCATCACTATTTTTTTTTCCCTTGGCACTACAACCACAGTGGGCCTAGGCCTACCTCCATGAACTTCTCCGTTCACTTCGGCTTTTCTAGATCTTACACATTCGGTAGGACTCCTTGGGCGGGTGATCAGCTCGTCGCAAGGCCTCTACCTGTATACAAAAACAGAAAAACGCACACACAAAACTAAATATCCATGCCCTGAGTAGGATTCGAACCCAAGATCCCGGTTTCCAAGCGAGAGAACAGTACATGCCTTAGACCGCTCGGCTACCGTGACCGGCCTTATCATCACTATACTGACTTGAATTTGGCAAGAAGTAACTCGTATGAACTGTGTGGCCGAAATTTCTAACAACAGTCTACCTAACGATCACCGCTACACGCACCCTTCAAAATGCTGTCCCAATTCAGTCCACAGAGACATAAAAATTGCATCATATACAGTTTAGCGATAGAGCAAGAGATCTCTTACTGGAAGCAAAAGTCACTGTGTATAACCTCTATACATACATTCTTAAATTGAACCATGTTAAAAATAGACGTACTAGAAATTTTTTTTCCCCTTGGCACTACAGCCCCAGTGGGCCTAGGCCTACCTCCATGAACTCCGTTCACTTAGGTTTTTCTAGATCTTACACATTCGGTAGGACTCCTTGGGCGGGTGATCAGCTCGTCGCAAGGTCTCACCTGTACACAAACACAGAAAAACGCACACAAACATCCATGCCCTGAGTGGGATTCGAACCCACGATCCCGGCTTCCTAGCGAGCGAAGACAGTGCATGCCTTAGACCTACTAGAATAGGGGTAAGTAATTTCAAGGGGAGCATCAAGATGATCATATTTACGCACAATTTAATTTAAAACTAATATAAGATATATAGTGTATAGTATGTACCGTCTATACAACAACAATCAGTATTCAAAACAAAGAAGACACTACTGCATCAACATTTGCTTTTATTAGGTTTATTACTGTCGTCTTTAATAAACCTAATAAAAGCAAATGTTGATACAGTAGCATCTTCTTTGTTTTTAATACTGATTGTTGTTGTGTGGACGGTACATTCTATACACTATATACCTTATTTAAGACACACAACAGGATGCACAATATTAAGATTAAAACTAATATGTCAGTATAGAGGACATTAACATCCTAAAGACGATTTCCATACGAACCTTTATGAGTGTGAAACTTTCTGTCTTCCTGTGAATAGTCAAATTAGATCTAAGCATCACTGTTGGCCTTCCAGTGTGGAATATTTAATGAGAAATATTATTTGCTTCGTACGTTTTAGTAAAAATCCTTGGTCCAAGATTTATCCAAAATCCCTAGCATTTGAATAGATTTATATTCTGACATAGGTTATATACGATGGTAATTTTGGGGAAATATCTACGATAGTAATTAAATTTTTTTAATTCGCTTAGTGGGCGGTGGAGTCCAGCTGGGTCCACTCGGCACGGCGGCAACTGATTGGCTTATTGTACCTGTCCCGGGTCATTATGATGGAGAGTTTGGTGGAATGAAGATTGTCAGGGGAAACCGAAGTACTCGGAGAAAACACGCCCCAGCGCCACTTTGTCCACCACAAATCCCACTTCATCAGACCCGGGATCGAGCTCGGGCCGCCGCGGTAGGAAGCCAGCGACTAACCGCTTGAGCTATGGCGCGGCCATCTACGATAAGTTATACAACATTTGACGCAGAGCATAAAAATTTCGGCGAGAGTAAACATACTGTCCAAACCGACTACATGCATTCCAATATTCAGCTCGACAACACACAACAGCCTGTACCAAAGAATACCTTCTGATTACCTCGCATGGGATTGCCAGTGATGTATGAGCATGTACTATAACACTAAATATATATGACTATAAATGAGCAGTTTATGGTTGTTTCAAGAGCGTAACTTACCAGAGGCCATAAAACTTCTGAACTTTCAAGCTGAAATGACACCACCAAGCCACTTCGAACGAAATTAATTCCCCCATTCATTCACAACACCCATCAAACTGCAACATTGACTGCTTACTGGCGTTACTGACAACATGACAAACACAAAGAGCATGTTTGCAACGGACATTATCGGAACTAAAATCTATAACCTATAAGGAACAAGAAAATAACTCCTTCACAGTTCACTTTCGGCTATCTTTGATGCTACCGTAATGTTAGAGAAGCCAAGGAATTCCATCTATTCTAATAACGGAAGCATTTTGCGGGCATATGTGGTGGTTATTACTCGCCATTGCAAAATCCTGTCCTGAAAGCCATGACGTGAAATTAGGAACTAACAAATTAGATATTATATTGTGTCTCAAATATCTGTGAGGTTATGCAATCAAAAGGTAGTGACCTCGTTGGTGAATTCAATCATTAGAAATTTATAAGAATCTCTTTTCAACACAATAGAGAACCAAACTCACCGTATTATTTTTTTATTGTCAGTGGGGTGGGACTAAGTCCATTGTATTGCGACCACTTCTGGCCTATTGTACCACCCCAGATTGGTGAGGGTGATTGTGGAGCAGTTGGTGGAATGAAGATTGGCAGGGGAAACCGAAGTACTTGGAGAAAACATACTCCAGCGCCACTTTGTCTACCACATATCCCACTTCACCAGACCCGGGATCGAACCCGGGCAGCCGCGGTGGGAAGCCAGCGACTAACCGCTTGAGCTATGGCGCGGCCAAACTCACCGTAACTTTGATTTCGTTGAACACACAAGACTATAAGAATTACTGTTTTTTTACTCTTTCTATCATTCGTATTCTAGAGACTAGAAAACACGACGTTTCGGAAACAGGATCTGTTTCAGTCCTCAAGTGAGGAGGGAAGACACCTACTCGGTTGGGTCCGTTAGAACGAGCTAACCTTTAGACTTAGGTTCGGTAGAAGCTAGTTCCAATCTCAGCTGGAACAGTGGATATACCGAGGTTTTCGTGACTTTACTCAGTCCCTCTTGGCAAGTTCCAGGATACTAATACTACTAGACTGCAGCCACTTCCTTCCAGATCCTTGACAACTGATCAGCCTGCCGTCTGTTGCTGTATGTCCTGAGATATTAAGAGCTTGGTAAAATACTCATAAAACTAGCCTTTATATAAATAGAGTACTCATCAGGTTTGAAGAAGAAATGCAGACCATTACACAAAGACAGATGCATACATACCGCTTTGCTTCAGTTAACGGTTAGGCCTGTAAAATGAGAACCCAAATAATATCAAATCACTATTTCAAACCCCCCTTGTGAGATATAAGAAACAATATGGGATTTTCCCATTATTATGAATTCCAAATTTAACTTTGGACTAGACATGGATATCTACATATCTGCAATACAGTTCTGTCAGTTACAAGTGCTGAAAATAGGACTGTGGGCTGCGAATATATATACACATACTGACACTCAGCAACCTTCACAATTTTACCCTGAAGATGGAGACAGCATATACCTCTGAAATGACAGCAACATCACCCACATCCACATGGTATAACAGGCCAAGAATAGAAATTAGGGCTGGATTTAAGGGGAAACAACTTGTACAGTCATCACAGTGCTTTAAAAAAAAAAAAAAAAACAATAACCCAGATTTTACTGAGAATTTGATTCTGTGAAATCACCAAATTTAGTTTTGTATTTTCAGTTATTTTAACACATAATAAAGTAAATGGGCTGTGATAAACTAACATTTTATTTCCTCCAGAACCCACACAACTATAAATTCAGCAGTGATAAACTGTGTGCACTTACTTTTATTGGAACTTTTTCATATGAGCAGAAATGCTGTCCATTATAAGTGTTTCACGAGTTTGCAACAAAATAAAATGCACGCAAATCATTTGCAAACTAAAAAAACTGTGCTCAAAAAGAGTAAATTTATTGCTTTTAGGGTTGAATGTTATGCTGCTATTTTAACAAGTGAAATCCATACAGTCCATGTGAAAAGTAAGAAAGGAAATTGAGACAAGGAAGGAGGAATATCAGGATTGCCATTTATACCTCACTAATCAAGAATTTTCAGTGTGCAGTCAATCATATTACTTATTACTTGCATGAACACAGAGATAAAAAGTGTGCAATGTACTTTCAATTAATTTATTTGAATTGTAAATTTAAGGGCAATATGGGAGAAATTATATATATATCATGTAGCCTTTAAATATCTGACCACATCATATACAAACATGACAACACTAGTCATTAATAATTATATTTTTTTACAGGTTAACATATAATACTAATTATTACTATTACTTACAATCATATACAATTATTGTTATCATATGAGACAAAGGTACAAATAACTTATTATAAATTATTCGGTACTCCCAATTTTATGGAAGCATAAACAGTCATGAGGATTATATTAAATCTAGGACCCTGTGTGTTTTTATGTAGAAATGGCGGGATATTCCACAGAACTACATGAACATGTGGACTTCATTCAATGAAATACTGATGCCAAAGCAGCAACATTTTACTAATGGCTGCTTAGTTAATATTAATAAATTTTGATTCCAAAGAGTGGCTTGTGAGAGGTCAATGACATGCTGTCTTCTTGTAGATCTCTGTAAAATTGATGTATGTGAATGTCCCAAGCAAAGAACAGAGATATTACTTTTCTGTCTTCAGGGGATGAAAGTTACAACATAATTAAAATGTGATAAAAATTGTAAGATTTGAGGCTTTCACGGCGGTGACTATGAAGAAAGCAGTCTTCTGGGATTTGGCACCGTGTATATGTGGGATTAACACCACATATACACGGTGCCAAATCCCAGAAGACTGCTTTCTTCATGATAAAAATTGCTTAGTACCTTTCAATATTCAATAATGATGATGCTGCTGATGATAGTTACTCGTAAATTTTTCATTACCTTTAATGTGCCAACTCAACAGCTACAGCAGCCAGTTACAGAGTCAGCACAAACAAATAAATAAAGAAAATAACACACACACATGCAAGACGAAATCAATCTTCATATGTGTATCAGTATATCAGATTTGCACAGAGTTAATAATAGATTCCAAAGTAAGAAACTGTGTTTAGTGTGTGACACAAATGACAAATATATATTAAAAATAAAAGTCGCAAATTAGAACCTCATGGAACAGCAGATATGAGTAGCGTAATGAAAGGCAACAAAGAAAATCTAGTAAAATGTACATAATATATTCTATTGGTTAGGGACCATTAATTAAAATCTCAGTTAAAACAGCTATTAGACAAGCCATAACCTATGCTTAACAAACAGAAAGGAATACAAAACTAATTCAAAGGCACTAGCAAGGTCAGAATAAAATCAATTTTTCTATGAGCTCACACAATGGAAGTACCAGAAACAAAACGAGCAACCAAATTTGTAGCAGTTGATGTCAATTTTTTTAACCATGCTGTGGAAAATTAAACTTAGTCCTATAAAAGGGTGATTTGTGGTTATGTGTAACAAATTAAAATAGAATATTTTAATAATAGTAATAATAATAGTAATAGTAATAGTAATTACTGACAGAGGTTAACAACAGAAATATTTATTGCTTTCTTCAAAACTGCCAGAAATGTCTGCGTGGAAAAACTAAGACTGAAAATACACTTCAACAAAGGGAGAAGCATCTAAGATCATCCTCTCACAAGACAACAACTGTGGCGACAATATGAACTGTGATGTCATTGACATTTATCTCTGTTTGTAGTTTTGGGATCCAAAAGATAAACACCTCTCTAAAAAAATTCTGCTTCTGCCTGCAAATATTCTTCAGTTCAATCAAATTTGTATTAAAAATATATGTTTCTTTAAATTCCTTTTTAATAATCTCTATCATTTTCCAAAATATATTCCAAATTGTCACTTTAGAAAGTGTCCATTCTCCAAACTTCTCCATTTCTTTCTTGCTTCGCATGTAAGAGCTACATTTCCAGAAAATTTTAATGTGAAATGTATTGACAAACAAAAGTAACAGCAATAACAATAATAATAGCGATGATAATGATGATGATGATGATAATAATAATAATAAATAGTAATAAATGATTTTTAAATGCTTTTCTTCCTCATTGACGTACCTGCACTTATCTCAGTACATCAAGTATATCAGTATTCCACTTTTTCTCTCATAAATTGACCTTCAACTTATTGTACTGAAGTTGGGTATGTCATATCGATACAGGGTCACGACATAAAAAGTATGAGGAGATACACGACAAAACAAATCTCACTTTGAAATGAGTTATCATGTCAAATGAAGGTAGTTCTAAAGTAACATGTGATATATATATATACTAACTTTGGAGCTGACCACCAATTTTGCATCTAATCAAAAACTTCCCAGCATTTTATGGAACATGAAGGTCCATTACTGTGTTCACAAGGGCCTTCCACTGGTCCCTATACTAAGTTAGATCAATCCAGTTCATACCACCCCCATTCTATTTCTCCAAGATCCATTTTAATATTGTTCACCTGCCTATATCTTGGTCTTCCTAGTAGTCTCTTCCTTCTGACTTTCCCACCAGTATCCTATATGTATCCTTATTCTCCCCATTCGTACTGCATGCCTTGTGAATCTCATCCTCCTTGATTTGATCATTCTAATTATACTTGGCAAAGAGCACAAGTTATGAAGCTCCTCGTTATGAAGCTTTTTCCAACCTCCTGTCACTCCATCTCTCTTCAGTCTAAATATTCTCATCAGTACTCTGCTCTCAAACACCCGCAATCTATGTTCCTCCCTTAATATCAGAGACCAAGTTTCACACCCATACAGAACCACAGCCAAAATTATAGTTTTGTATATTCTAACTCTTTTGCTTTTAGACAGCAGACGGGAAGACAAAAGGTTCTGGACTGAATGGTAGCAAGCATTTGCCAAAATTCAGTTTCCCCTTTATCACCTCCTGAATCAAATTTAATTTGTTACAGTAGTTCCAAAATATGTAAACTCCGCCATGTTTTTGAAGTATCAGTTAGTTATCTTGGTGTTTGATTTGGCCCTGCACTCTGGTGACGAGACAGCAAAATATACTTAGTTTTCTCAGTGCTTACTTCTAGACTGACCTCCTTACTTGTGTCAATTAAAGTTTCTGTGTTTTTATTTATGATACTTATGTTATCACCCAGTAGATCACATGAACAGCATAGACAGCAGTTGATGTGTCCCATTTGATTTCAGTCCCATCTGGTTGTGATATATACATACAACAATAAAAATAGGACATATACAAGAGCTTGAAATGGGTCTGAGTGGGAGGAGAAAATAATTGTTTTCTCCTTTGCTTGTGTTATTATTTTGCGTGAGAAGATATTCCATGGTCTAGGCATAATGTGTAGATGGAAATTCTCAAACACAGTTTGCAGACAGGCAGCGAACCACATTAAATACAATACAATGGCTTTAATTTTTACATTATAAATAAACATTTTTAAACATACTATTAATAATTACATCTATGGACTATTATTTGTATTGTACAATGTAAGACAAAGAGGGTATGGTGTTCAGAAAACACATTCATATTTTAATGATCATCAAATAGATAAAATTCAGAACTGCTGATGTGGAATATCCTTTATATCTGTCAATGAAATAAATGTCCAAATGTGAGCTAAGAACAATGATGTTAAAGAAAATAAAGCACACATTTCGACTGATATGAAATATGTTGTATTTCTTAGTCAATTATGTTTAATGCTTTCTGATATCATAGGTTAGAATTTGCCTTCCAAATTAATAAATAATTTTATTTTCATGTTTCATTTTTTTTCTTCTATTAGAAAGTCTGAGGAACATGAAGGCTGAATCACTCTGTCATATACACTAGCACTGAAGTATCAAATTTCTTTCCCCCACCAAAAACACACATGCACGCACGCACGTGTGCCTGCACACACACTTATGAACATATTTGTTCTTTACATTTTTTGTTCACAGGATATTTTATGTGAATAAACTCACATAACTGTTAAAAAACAGTGACGTATGACAGACAAATTTACAGAACTTGTTGGACAAGAAGACTTTAATCTGAGAGTTTGCAGAAATGTGACAGATCCAGATCATGAATGTGCGAAAAGCAATGGGTTTGAATTTGAATACCTGAGAGGTTAATATCGCAATAATTCCATGTCATATGTTGAATTCAGTTACAAATAATAAACTACAAGTTTGTACCTGCTTATGAATCAACTTTTTTATCCTTATACATCTTGTGGTATACAAGCCGACTTTGGGGAAAAATTTACTCCTGGTCCCTCAGAGGATCTACGTGTGACTATTATCTTCCCTTTACCAAAAATTTCACAACCACTTCTATGTTTTAAAAGTTACGGTTGTTGCCCTCTTGGGAGGATAGTGAGGAGATTTGTCATTGTTCAAGTAAGATTTTCCAATTTCAGGATGATGCAAGTTGCCATGAGAAAGGTGTAACTGACACCTTGTTCCCCCTGACACTCGCGGAGCCCACTTTCAGGTTTTGTCTAAATTAAACACAGTGGTATGGGTTGTTGCAACAGAACAGTTGACATCATCAGGCTGAAGGCAGTGTCTTCGAACTGTGCTATTCAAATGTATCAAAGTGTGTGATGATGTTTCACATAAAATTGCACTATTTCCACGGCGACTTAAACTGTGTCGTCCTCTACTATCAGTACAGCAACAAAACAAATGCCTGTTGAAATGTTTCCGAAATGTTCCGCTGACACAGTACAGTGTTATAGGATTAATGCATGAGTTGATAAAGCTGAGGCAGAAGCCTATGATCCTAAATGCGTGCCAGAAGTCATCGTAAACTTCTTCTGACTGCGGGTCAAAGTGGAACCACAGGTTGAATATATGATACGGTAGAAAGCACAGCATGAATATAATGACGAATGCTAAAACCATCTTTGCTACTTTCTTCCGTGCACGAATTTGTGTTGATTGTCCTTGCATCTCTCCGGGCATATTCCTGGTGCTGAGAACAAGATGATGAGCCATCAGGATGTAGAAAAATGTGATAATAATCAGTGGAATGGCATAATATGATAGAAACTTGATTACCACCATTATCTGAACGTATTTTCTACCCAGTTTCTCTGGATATGGGTGGCACACCTGTGAAAACAAAAAAAAAGTTATTTATGCAGTAAACCTTAAAGATATCATGATAATTAAGTAAAATTTAATGGCCTTAAAAGGCTGATATTATAGTCAAAACTCTGATGTTTCAGTTGTTCATTCTGCTTATGTCGTCAGTGTGACACAATATAAAATGAAAGTTACTGTTGATAAAAATTGATATATCAGAAACTTATACTACTTTCATTAGCAGGACAGATGTAGTATGACAAAAACTTAAGCTTTCAAACATCACAATTTTATTCCAAAAGGACGTAGCACATAATTCAGTAACACATCAGTGATTCAAGAAATTGTTTACATTAATTTTGTTTACTTCAGTCCAAGTTGCTTTTCCAAGGTAATCTGGAATTAAGTTTTGTTTTTTCACAAAATAAGAATGAATATTTGTCAAAGATTAAATTCAAGGTATTTGCCTAAATTCAAAATTCTCCTATAGCTTAAAAATTCACACATTCATATAAAGAGAACCAGTTTATTAACTACACCTCTTCAACTTAAATCATACTATAGGAAACTGTATTTTTAGAATGAATAAGACTGATACTTGGCCAGAAAATTATTGGTAAACAAAGGAAGAATATGCAGCAACCTACTTCTTTAATACTATCAACTTATACAATTCTAAAACTGACGCACTAAAGACTCTTAGAGTATTCTGTAATGGTGACACTCTAGACAACATATTGTTCTAATTTACTTTGCGAAGAGGTGTTATGAGAAAGTTACATTAACTTAAAGAACATAGATTGAGAGCATTTTACAAAGGATGTTGAGGAATATATTTGAAATTTAGGGTGAGAAATGAAAGGAGAACGAAGAAAATTACAAAATGGTGAGTTCCATTACCTGTAACTCTTCACCATACATTATTAGAATAATTACATCAAGACTAATTTGGATTAGTGGGACATGTACACTCAGAGAGACAACATCTGCATGGAACACTTCAGTTATAGAACCTCAAGCAAAAAGAGAACACACAATTTCCCAAATAAAATGCAAGAACCAAAGCACTTAAAAGTATCCCCATTGTCGGATATGTTGCGAGTCTTATGCAGAATTGCTTCTAGTAGATTCTAAAGGGTTGTTTCTTTTTCTGTACAGATTTTGGGAAAATGTGGAACAGAGAAAAATGAAGAAGTGTTGTGGTTACAGTATACAAACTGAAGAACAATCTAAATTGGAATTTAAATTATATTTTAAATATTTAAAGTTGTTGGACTGTAAAAGAAAGTCAAACTGAGATTAATTTTAAAAGAGATTTAAAGTTTCTCATCATCAGATAATTGCTAATTTTCTTACTAAGAGATTAGCTCTGAGGGAATTGTACTTGTCCTGTAAATATGTAACCCGATGATTGGCTTGTCAAACAAACAAGTTTAATTATTTTTCAAGAATTTTAATTACTACCATGATAGAGGCTGAATGTTTCTGACAAAATGAAATTACAGACTGACATAATATCTAATGTCTTTTTTTTTATTTTTTACATTCTACATGCTATTATATTTTCCCTCTCATAATTTTTTTTATAAAACAGCAAAGTCTTGGCCCAACATTCTCAGAGTGTTGGCTGAGGTGCTAGACCTCACCTAGAGATTTCCTTAAGGATGTCCAAGAACAATCCATAAATCTGTAACTCACATTAAAAATTCCTGCAGCCATTTTTCTTCTAACTTAAATTATTCAGTCTAAATAAGAAATTATGGCTCATCAAGACTAATATTCCACCAAGTGTAACAACCGAAAAACTACTACAAATAATATTATTGCATCTTGCTTCTAAAATCATAATAAAACATTCTTAATTAATTTAATTCCTCAGTATTACTGATCTTCTTCATTAGTTCTAATTATATCAATTCTTTCAGCAAGTCTCCAAATGAAACAATACTGTTACAAAGACTAATGTAAGATATATTCTTTGAGACTATTGATTTGCCTCTTGACGATGACAACTTAGGCTCAAAAAATATAAAACAGAAAAATATTTTATCTATTTATTAAGATCTGCTACATTTGATGTAATTTTAGCCTTAACACATTAGTGATAAGTATCAAAGAAGAAGTCCTCTGTAAAAATAAGCAATTATGAAGAACTTTGCAAACACACTATAGGGAACAACTTGGCCGCTCCATAGCTCAAGGGGTTAGTCGCTGGCCTTCCACCGCGGCGGCCAGGGTTCGATCCCGGGTCTGGTCAAGTGAGATTTGCGATGGACAAAGTGGCGCCGGGGCAGGTTTCTCTAAGTACTTCGGTTTCCCCTGCCAATCTTCATTCCACCAACTGCTCCGCAATCACCCTCACCTATCATCTGGGGCTGGTACAATAGGCCAGAAGTGGCCTCAGTACAAGGGACTTAGTCCCACCCCATTAGCAATAATAAAATAATAATAATACGGAAGAACTCCAAAAGCCATCACAGTAACAACTACATCACTCTGTAGTCGTTCTAAGCTGGACTTGTTTCAACGCCGCTGTAGTACGTAGACGTTGGGTATAACTACGGCTTTCCTCGGACGATGCTGCCGATGGTTTCTCTATCTGGGCCGCGCCCTTACGACTTCTTCCCGCATTTTCCCTCGCGGTTGTCTTGTGAAAGTCTGGGAAGGCAGAGGGATGGCTGGGCGCCAGGAGACGCCGTCATTATGGTGGCTACGAATTTGTATGGTTCAATAGGTAAGATCAGGAAGGATGGTGCTTAACTTTGGCTGGGACCGGTAGAACCAGAGATCTGGTCTGTAGGTCTTAACGGGCCTGGCTTAACAGGACAGAAAGAACTTGGTTGCATAAGCACACACCATGATCAAAGGACGTGCGCAGAGAGAGACTTTGTTACGTAACACATGTATACTACAGTGGTACTGATAGTTACACAGCAATCCACTTTAATAATACGATGTGCTTCCTTTAAGTCACAAGGGGTAAATAAACTGTCGAGGTTCACACGAATCACTAATAAGTAATGTATCCCAGCTTGCCGAATAGTTAAGCGGTTGTTAACTTAGTAATTCTGAAGGGCGTCCTACCACTTGGAAAGACTGGGAACGGACTACGTGCAGAAGTGTCCCGTACTGAGAGGGTAGACACCTCAGAGCCTCGCAAGCTGCCTCCCTCGAGATCCCCAATTGCCTCATTCCGAAAACAAGCAGGTCTCAGCTTTTTTTTTACATTTCCCAATCAGCTGACTTTCTCAGGAAAATCTCAATCTTAAGCCCCCAACGGCACACAGGTCTTGATGGATAATCCCAATAGCGTCGGTTCAAGAAACTCGTACTCCAGAATTAATGACTACACGGACCTGCAAGAAATAAGATTCCTCAAGAGAAGTCGAGGTCTTGAAACTTCACAACAATTCCAAGAAAGACGACCAACGCTTCCAACCTTCCCAGGAAGAAGTGGCGTAATTCCGCCATAAGAATACAAGAATGGGATCCTCCCTCCTCTGGATCCCCAACATGTGCAGACATATGTTGGTCACTCTAATTAATATATTTCTTTCCTTGGCACTACAGCTCCAACGGGCCTAGGCCTACCTCCATGAACTTCTCCTTTCACTTCGGTTTTTCTAGTTCTTACACATTCGGTAGAATTCCTTGGGTGGGTGATCAGCTCGTCGCAAGGCCTCTACCTGTACACAAACAGAAAAACGCACACACACAAACTAAACATCCATGCCCTGAGTGGGATTCGAACCCATGATCCCGGTTTCCAAGCGAGCGAAGACAGTTTAATTAATATTACTTATAACAATAGCCAGCCATTCTGAGCGATTACAATACCCTAGAGGACAAAAAAATATTTTTAATCCTAGTGAACCCACGTAGGCGCAATCTCTCAATTCATTACTGTTATCTCCAAAATTGTTTTACAACGGATGAAGCATACAGGGAAGACCCCTCTGTCCCCCAAATCCCCATACATTTACGATGTCCTGGCGAGATGGGGAAATCCCTATTTGGGAACCAAAATTTAATGTCTTCGTAAAAATGTCAGCGCTGAAAAGCGTCTAATAAAATTGCATATACACCAAAATTACACAGTGGACACTTGATTGGGGAAGGTATAAGCCTGTAACTGTGAGTTGACCTTAATAGTCTTGTTGCCTTCCAGTTGGATCTCGCGCACAAACGAGAAGATGGCTGCGGGCATGGCAAGCAGGATAGCAAGTATCCATATGACAAGAGCCGTGAAAAGGGTGACAGGCTTTGCAGAAAGTCGGCCGGCCACATGGCGTCGCATTGGATTGACGATGGCACAGTATCTCTCTGCACTCAGAGCAGTCAGCGTGAACACTGACACACCGATAGACACGTCCTTCGCGAACTCAGACACCTTACAGATGAGCTCCCCATACGGCCATGATTCCAGCTGCAACAATTAGATTAGCATGTACACAACAGATGGCTTTACTGCACTCTGTACGTTAGAGATCAGATCTGTGTACCGTAACGGCTACAGCTGCAACAGTTACTTTAACATGTACACAACAGATGGCTTCACTGCACTCCTGTACGTTAGAGATCAGATCTGTGTACCGTAACGGCTACAGCTACAACAGTTACTTTAACATGTGAACAACAGATGGCTTCACTGCACTCCTGTTCGTTAGAGATCAGATCTGTGTACCGTAACGGCTAAAGCTGCAACAGTTACTTTAACATGTACCCAACAGATGGCATCAATGCACTTCTACACAGTACAATTCAGATCTGTGTACCGTAACGGCTACAGCTGCAACAGTTACCTTAACATGTATCCAACAGATGGCATCATTGCACTTCTACACGGTACAGTTTAGATCTGTGTACCATAACGGTTACAGCTGCAACATTTAATTTAACATGAATACAACAGATGGCATCAATGCTCTTCTACACGGTACAATTCAGGTCTATGTACTGTAACGGTTACAGGTGTAACAGTTACATTATCATGTACCCATCAGTTGGCATCACTGCATTGAAAGAATTTACAGTTCAACTGAAAGTACATACACGACTCCAACTGTAATAATTATATTAACATAAGCTAATCAGATACCCTCACTACAATCCCATAACTTACAAATCACATCTGCATACAGTAAAGACTACAGCTGCAGCAATTATATTAACATCTACCAATCAGATGGTGTCACGTTATTCAGATATCGTACAGACAAAGTCTGTCTATGGTCATAAATTCGGTTGCAATAATAATGTTAACATTTCATCACAGGATTTTATGATCATGGAGTAAATTGTTATGACATTGTATTTGGACTTCGTTTATTGGCTGATTTAAGATACACAATTCCAAACATTATCATAGACGGGCTACATCTCAATCCTCAGATAATATACAGAGAAAGAGATTCATACTTTATGTAGATTATCTCTGCATGCGCGCAGCAGAGGGCAGGCTTCCCTGTCTGAGATGGAGCGCAGTAATTTTCAGAATTTATATTTTGAAGCAGACATTGGAAGAAGTCCAAATAAACTGTTACAGTAACGTGAGCCTCAGTGTTTAGGATAGCTTCACTGACCACACTCATTGCTCTAAGATGTAGCAACCTGTCACCAACGGAGCTTCATAAACTTACAATGAATTTTCAATTCTATATTTCTGATACTTACTGTGTACAAAGTAGATATGAAGGGCACACAAATGACTATGACCAGGAGGTCTCCTAGCGCCAGGCTGAAGATGTAAGTGTTGGGGGTGTTTCTCATGTTGCGGTGACGTAAGAAGATCAGCACCAGGGTACCGTTGCCAAGGACACCAACCACGAAGATGAGAACGAAAAGAATAGGTACGATGTAGGTCTCGGGTCGCTTGTTGTAAGGGATATACCCGACTTCATTCTCCGGTAGCTCGACTTCGTCAAGGTCCAGGGCCGAGGAGTTCCAGCAACTGCAGTTGTAGTCCAACAGATAGCTCGAGTTCATAATCGGGTCGCACTTCTCCAGCATACAGGATGGGTCACTGGTGCCGAACATCACGCTGCTGGAACAATGGGACTTGATTATCCTCAGTTTATGTGAAGCCTTAATTCCGGCTGGTGGGTTACGCGCATATGGCGTCGGATATTAAGATGAATTTGTTTGTTTCTTTGTTTCATTAAAGGGCGCTGCTTTCCGATCTAGACAGATTAGGCCTGTAGTGTACTATGCGGGAGGATCATTGTATTTGTTTCTTGGTTATTTAACAGGATATAGATATACACTTTATACGAGATAATGTCAGTCTAGCCTAAGTTCATCAGTGTTGGTTTCCATTCCTTTAAGGGATAGTTTTACTGCTTCAAAGGACAGAAACACGCCTGAAATATCAGAACCGCGCAGCATAAGTGTGGTTAGGTCCCGTAACAACTTTATTTGAACAGGTTGTTGAGGAGAATATTTGGACTGAAGAGAGATGAAGTGACAGGAGGTTGGAAAGAACTGCATAATGAGGAGCTTCATAACTTGTACTCTTCTCCAAGTATAATTAAAATGATCAAGACAAGGAGGATGAGGTTGGCAGGGCATGTAGCACGAATGGGGGAGATGAATCTTTCTAAATAAAGACAAGACAATGGATAATGTTCAGAAACATAATATTTTTACAAAATTTTCTGCATTGTAAGCACAAGGTTTTCGTTAATAGCTAACAAAATGGAGCAGAGTCATCGAGAAGCCAACAGCTGCGCTTCTAGTTACTACTTACTGGAGACACTATCACTTCGTGCAAAGCTCTGAATCCTTCTGCTTAATACTAATTTCCTAAACGGAATCTGTTACAACACGAGTGCTAATCTGAACCAGGGTTCTCAGGCTGAGGATCCACACTGAAGCAGAGACAGAGATAGACCTATCCGCCATTTTGAAGACCGCGTATGTCTTTTGTCTACAGTAATCACTCCGCTTTGTTGTGAAACATAGACCCTGTTCTACCATCGCCTCTTATCTCAATGTCAAGATGGTAGCCAGTGTTCAATGCCTTGGCTCAAGGAGTGGATGCATAAAGGGAATAAAGGAAGCAATCATCTCTAGCTAGATATGTAGCATATCTTTTTTTTTTTCCTCTGGCGCTACAGCCCCAATTTGGGCCTAGGCCTACCTCCATGAAACTCTCCGTTTCACTTCGGTTTACTAGATATTAAACATTCGGTAGGACTCCTTGGGCGGGTGATCAGCTCGTCGCAAGGCCTCTACCTGTACACAAACACAGAAAAGCGCACATACACAAATACTAAACATCCATGCCCTGAGTAGGATTCGAACCCACGATCCCGGCTTCCGAACGAGCGAAGACAGTGCATGCCTTAGACCGCTCGGCTACTGTGACCGGCACTGTATAAGAATAATATATAAGAATTCAGTTCGTACCTCACAGAAAACAGCCGAACCCACGATCCCGGCTTCCGAACGAGCGAAGACAGTGCATGCCTTAGACCGCTCGGCTACCGTGACCGGCAGTGTATAAGAATAATATATAAGAATTCAGTTCGTACCTCACAGAAAACAGCCGAACCCACGATCCCGGCTTCCGAACGAGCGAAGACAGTGCATGCCTTAGACCGCTCGGCTACCGTGACCGGCAGTGTATAAGAATAATATATAAGAATTCAGTTCGTACCTCACAGGAAACAGCCGAACCCACGATCCCGGCTTCCGAACGAGCGAAGACAGTGCATGCCTTAGACCGCTCGGCTACCGTGACCGGCATGTAGTATATCTTATTCAGCACATATCCAGACTCTGCACACGCCCTGGAGCATCCGCTGTACTCAACAGTAATCGTTTCAAGGACAGTGGTGACTATATACGAGTGTACCAGCCACTTTAAAATTCATAACTGCATTTTGACCCTTAGAGTTTATTTGGGATTTTCGCATGATTCTCAGAATAAACAGCCATAATTGCCTCAAACATCGTTAAATGATTGATCTTTGTGTTATAGGTGCAGTGGTTTCTGCGAGATAGAAAACTGAATTTTTTAATATTATTTAACGAAATTCAGGTCGCAAAGAAATAAGTCAGCCTGTTCATCTCTCACTTTTTTTTTGTAGTTCCTCATTTATGCTAAAAATTTCATACCCCCCTGAAGGCGAAGGGTTGTTAGCCTTATGCCACATCCCCAAGCCGAAGGACAATATGTATAAAATAATAATTTTTCCACTTGTTTTGTATGGTTATTAAACATGTTCTCTAACTTTCAAGGAAGGACTTATTACATATACCTGAAAATAAACTGATAAAAAAAATTAATTTAAAATAAATATTCGTAAATGAGAAGTTTAAGATATTTCATTTATGCCTCGTAATGTTTTTAGATGGCGACATCTAAAAGGATAAACTGGGCTGGGCATGTAGCTGGGATAGGACAGAAATAAACTGATATATAATTTTGTATGAGAAATTATTTGAAAGGTCGAGAAGGAATTAGAAAGATGTAAGATTTGAGGTTTTCACGGAGTTGACTATGAAGAATGCCGTCTTCTGGGATATAGCGCCGTGTAGATATTTTGTTAACCGACGTTTCGGATGCACATATCGTTTCCATCTTCAGTGTGTAAGAAATCCGCGAGCGATAAATCAGCGTAAGCAGAAGACGGAATTCTTCAATAAGAAAGATAATATTAAGATAGGTCCAAGGAAATACTTTGTTAACTTCGGATGTGGCTGGAGCTAGTTAAATATCGTGTCCAGTTGTAGCCTTACAATAGCGGCGCAGAAAATTCGTGTTGTTAACACCACGGAGTTTCTCTGTGAACTAATTTCTACCCCGCTGAGGGATCTTCTACGGGGCTACAAGAGACATTACTATAAAAAAAAGTATAACAAACAAGACTCAAGGAGCAAAAATTGTCTCGTATATGTGTGGAGATGGGGGCACGCGGTAGCGTAGTTGGTTGAGGCAGTATGCTACAAGCTGGAAGGTCGCCGGTTCGAGTCCCGATGAGGTGGACTTTTCAATTGAACTTACCCTTCCAGCCGCACTATGGCCCTGGGGTCGACTCAGCCTCTAACAGAAATGAGTACCAGGAATTTTCTCGGGGGTAAAGAAGGGCAGGAGCGTAGGACTGACAACCTTGCCGCCTCTATGAGCCGATTGTCTACAAATATGGGAACCTCAACATCTCACAACCCTATGGTCCTCCAGGGCCTGTTACAGGGATACCTTTACTTTAATTTTATGTGTGTGGTGATCTGTGGTCGACACAGTGGTACTGAGGCAGAGTTATTCCTAGCACTTCGGTTTCCTCTGCCAGTTATCATTGCACTGAATGTTCCACATACATCTATCATCAGGGTTGATACATTGGGTCAACTAGTGACCGCGTGCTAAGTGGACTCAGTCTCACTCTGTTTCTTAGCTTTAAATACACCTTCTACGGCTGATGGGACAATAAGAAGAACTGATGGTGGCCCACAGAGATGATGAAAAAGCAGACCTTTAGTTCTACCAGACTCCACTCACGCGTTGTGATAGAGGCATATAGGCGAAAGCAAATGCAAAGTTGTCCCTGTGCCTAATTAATTAAGCACCACGCCATGAAGATATATGTGGGAGCGGAGGTATAACTCCACCATTCTTGACCCAAACACTAGATGGATATGAGTTGTCAGGTTAACGCTATGGTCGATTTAAACCTGGTAAAAGGGCCAGTGGTATCCATTGTACAGAAAGCTGGGTTGAACCCGGAGTAGGTCTGGATGCTGTGGAATAGAGAAAAACTTGCTGCTTCTGCAGGGAAACGAACCCCGGCTGATCAGCCCGTACCCCCGTCGTTCTACCGACTAAGCTGTCACAGTTCCCGAGATGTACACAAATTGTTTGCAAAATCAATGTGTATGCCTTTTTTTTTATTCGCTTAGTGGGGGTTGGAGTCCAGATGGGTCCACTCAGCACGGCGGCCACTGACTGGCCTATTGTACCCGCCCCGGGTGATTATAATGATGGAGAATTTGGTTGAATGAAGATTGGCAGGGGACACCGAAGTACTCGGAGAAAACCAGCCCCAGCGCCACTTTGTCCACCATAAATCCCACTTGGCAACACCCGGGATCGAACCCGGGCCGCCGCGGTGAGAAGTCAGCGACTAACCGCTTGAGCTATGACGCGGCCGTGTGTCTGCCTTTGTAGTATGTTGGTGAGAATCTATTTGACTTGACCTGAATTCGTGTAGTTAATATATAAATTCAATTCTTTATTATTATTTTGCGGAGTCAACAGCCGCAAGGCCAGTTACAGACAGAGCACAGGGTAGATTCAAGTAATTACATTATGAACAATTACAACATAAGGTCAAAAACAAATTTCAGGCAAGCACTGGAGGAAAAACCCATTAATGCAGACAAGTAAACAAATAATAATAATAATAATAATAATAATAATAATTTCATTAACATAAATCTAAGTTATTGAGAACTGAGAAATGAAATGTATAAATATTTAATTAAAAAATTAAAATTATAGATTTTCAGAGAGGATAATAATAATTATTCAGTTTAATTGTTGTTTATTGTACATGTAAATAATAATACTAACAATTATACTAAATTTAAAAATCGTTTGGGGAGAACATTCCTGGCTCCGAATACGTCAAGGTCCCTGCAAACTACATTAGCAGCTGCTGCACATCGAGCAGAGGGACAATTTTTAGATGAGGAGCAGACACTGAACAATGCAAAGTCTCTGATATACCGAGCAGGAACTCGAGAGACCAACAATTTCCAGAACAGAAGGGCAGAATTTCGAGCCGAAATAAACGTGAATAAAATGTCTCCTATTATGTAAAGTATGAAATTTTAACTCCTCCAGAACAAGAGAAGAGCTGTAATGAACTTGAGGATAGAAACGATTAAAACAAAGGGCCGAAACCTCTGCTGGATGCGTTCCAGGTTGGCATCAGTTGACGTAATCGAATTCCAGACTACGGACGCATATTGAAGCCTAGATCTAACTAATGGAGTGTACAATCTGAGCATACAGTACCAATAACACGAGTAATGTTA